CCTCCTCACAACATGGCGAAGAGAGGACCCGGATTCGGTTTGCCTGATTGATAGGACTTGTAAGCACCTGTGGGCAACTCTAGCAAGCAGAGCAGAGTGTGTGCCGCGGGACACCGAAGACAGGCGTGTATCAACACCAAAAAAAAAGGGGGATCTGTGGGGAGCAACCCGGACTGGACTGAGTTACTGGAATTAAGACTTATTCTATGCATCTGCTCTCCCACAATATGGCGCTGGGAGAGGAGGCAACAGCTTCTACCCAGCTGCCTCTCACCAACTTGACAAGCTGCAGGACCTGCTCCTGATTGGAGGAGAGCAGCGTACTCGGCGTGTGGGCAGCCGAGTTAGGATTGGCGGAGGAGGACTATAAAGGAGGAGAGAGACGGCATGCACCAGGAACATCTAAGGGGAACACCTGTGCAGCCCCCGAGAGAGCCAGCCGGCGGTGTGCCGCTCCCCCGCGGAAGTGGGGAAAGTGGCCAGGGGGAACCGCCCTTCCACGGAGGTGGAAGGACCAGCAGCCAACCCGGGAAGGACCAGCAGCCAACCCGGGAAGGACCAGCAGCCAACCCGGGGAGGGCCGAGCAGACAGAAGAACAGCGCAGGGTCCTGTGTCGTTCCTCCACGAAGACGGGGAGCGACAAAAAACAGCTAAAGATTTTAGGACACTAGTACTAAAACTGCTTTATTGTTCTATCTTGTATGTTGTATTATGTGTGTGTGCGTATTGTTTGTCTACATAGGGAAATTTAATAGGAGCTCTCTTAATTGGCTTATAAACAAAATATTGCTCATAAATTTAAACTGCTAAAATTAATCGAAGATACATTTGATTCATGTGACCTGGATCTCTTTGTCAGATGTTTTAAATCTGTTGGTAGAAAGAAACTAAAAATGTTTTATATGTTTGCTTGAGTTTGCTGGTTAAAAAAGCTATATGACGTCACACCTAGAGTGTTCATTGTTGAATCAACAACAGGAGTCACCATGTGCTAACTCCCCATGCAGAGAGGGCAGCATGGTACCCCTGCCCCCACGAGCAGGTTAGCTTTGTTCTTCTCACCTTAAAGACAATATCTATTGGCTGGCGCCGCGGCTCACTAGGCTAATCCTCCACCTAGCGGCGCCGGCACACCGGGTTCTAGTCCCAGTCGGGGCGCCAGATTCTGTCCCGGTCGCCCATCTTCCAGGCCAGCTCTCTGCTGTGGCCCGGGAAGGCAGTGGAGGATGGCCCAAGTGCTTGGGCCCTGCACCCCATGGGAGACCAGGAGGAAGCACCTGGCTCCTGGCTTCAGATCAGCACAGTGCGCCGGCCACAGCACGTGCACTGTGGCACACGTGGCGGCCATTGGAGGGTGAACCAACAGCAAAAGGAAGACCTTTCTCTCTGTCTGTCTCTCTCTCTCACTATCCACTCTGCCTGTAAAAAAAAAAAGATATCTATCGCAGCAGAGTTACCTAAATGTAAGATCAGCAATCATCCTTCTAAAAAAAACCAGTTTTGCTAATAAAAAAAATATGGTAGACGACACAACACTCTGTAACGGTCCTGGCAGAGGCGCGCCCAGTGCGCACAAAGGCCCCGCACGGCTGCTTCCTGGGCCCAGAGGAATCCTGGGACACTTTTCCTGGACCTTATTGTCCTGTGGTGAAAGGAAGCAACAGAAGCTACTTTCCTCTGCCCCCTCCCAAACCGAAACCCGGGCGGGGGGGGGGGGGGGAAAACCAAAAAAAAAGGGGGGGGCAAAAAAAACTGGAAAAATACCACTTCCTGTTGACTGAGCTGTGACAATGCTCCTTTCTACCTTAAATTTCTCACGTGTCTCACACCCCCCACCCCCACCCCCACCCCAGAGCCGCCAGCCCTGAGACACTGGAGGCCTCTCCCAGGTCCAGCCCAGTCGTGTCCGGGTCCATGGATCACCCCACAGAGGGAGGAGCCTGACCCCCTCCTAACGATGGCGAGAGGCTTTGCTTGTGTCTTTCTAGAGATGGCTCCGCAGCCTGTGTGGATGCCGGCCAAAAATGTCAAAGCCGACGTCCCTCCGACAAGCCCACTGCAGCGCCCTTCCCCTGGAGAGATCCCCTTCAGATCGGCGACGCCTTAAAGGGATGGGACCTCCCCAGGTGCTGCTGCTGCGCACGACCACCTCCGTGGAATTAGGGTTAAACGTCTGCCTCTCAAGTCTTCACAGGTGAACACGAAGGACACGCCCCACTAGCCCAGAGATCTTAAGCAAGAAGATAAGTAAAGCCTTGGCCTTCGTCACGTCAAACAGCAAACATGTTGTACCTGCCTCTTCTGATTCTCTCTGGGAACTGTTATTGACAATACAACTCCTAGTGGGTTCTTCCGTTATAATTCTATACTCAAGCTGGATGGGCTTGTAGTCCATCGTCACCCACTATCTGGGAGTCTGTAAGACGCGTCCTCTTCACCTTAAAGGGGAGCTCCGCTTTACAGCTGGTCCAGTTTTGCCCATACCAATGGACAAACTTACATATTTCAGAACTCGACTTCTGGGAGTAACTGACCACGCGGGGGACGCAGAGATTGGCGGTGACCGAGACTGTGCCAGCTCACAAGGCAAATTCATTAGATGAGATAGGCAGAGATTTCTAGAGCCAGGTCGGGCAGGGCCTGCACCACGCCCCCTCATAACCAGGCAGCAGCTATAGAAGATGCAATGATTCCACACGGTGGGACCTCCCAGGCACATTCCCCCCACCCCCACCTTCTGCCAATCACGTAAACTGCTCCCGGGCGTGGCCCAGGCCCACCAGGAAAGCTGCCCTCGCTGATTGGAGAGGCATATTGGCGCCGGTGTCAGTTCTGCCCTATAGTTAGTGTTCCCCTGAGTTAGTCACACCCCTTCCGCCTGCCCTTTAAACATGTACATAGCTGTGAATAAAGTGGATTCGTGCACTGAAGCCTGTCCCCGGGCAGAGTGGACTCCGCAGGATGAGCCCACAACTTTCAAATAAATAAATCAATAAATCTTCAAAAAAAAAAAAAAATACCAGTCCCGGCAAACTGCTCCCTGGGGAGGCAGTTTCCTGGGGGGCTGTGCGTTCCTTCCACGTCCTTTGCATGTCACAGAAAACACAGCTCGGCTGAGAGCACGCGCCAGAGCCACACCCAGGAGAGTGAGCCCCTTGTGTCTGCTAAGTTGAGGTCAAACCAGAGTGCAGGGGTCCTGGTGGGCCGGCCAGGCCTTGCCCCAGCGCGGGAGGCACGCCCATCCCAACCAGTCCCGGCTCTGGCCCTGCCGAGCTGCGTCACCTGGGATGTGGGCTCCTCCTCTGGAATATGGATGCTCCTTGCCTTCCAACCGGGCTGTGTCCTGATAAATCCATGGTAACGTGAACATATCATGTGTCAAACTGCATTTGATAAGCGCTGGTGCTGTGGCGCAGCGGGCTTAGCTGTTGCCGACATCCCCTATCGGAGCGCTGATTGAGTCCCGGCTGCTCCGCTTCCAGTCCCGCTCCCTGCTAATGTGCCTGGGAAAGCAGCGAAGGATAGCCCAAGTGCTGGGGCTGGGACTCGAACCCAGGCACTCTGATAGAAGATGCGGCATCTTCACTGCCAACCCCCAGACTGCGTCTTCCGAAATTACCCTGCCCTGCCCGTGCCACTCGAATACCCCAGACCCACCGTGCATCTGGCTGATGTCCTCTGCCCTTTCCAAGCGTGTGAGCCCTGTGCCAGCTGAGACTTTGCACCCGCCCGTGAACCAAGTTTCACCTATTGGCACCCTGGTGGTTGGCTGGCCTGAGACGGAGGAGATGAGACACTCGGCACAAAGGAACTCAGTGAGCCCTACCCCTGGTTCAGGTTTAACAGCAGACAGATGGACAGACACGCACGTAGCGGCCACCCACCTCCTTCCAACCCACCAGCCCCCCGTGCCGCCCTCCTACTCCGGTTCAGCAAGGGGACTGAGAGAGCTGGGGAGGGGTCGCTGCAGACAGCTCCTCTCCTCCAAGCCGTGCTGGGCACACACCAGGGTTCTGGTTGATTCCCTGTGGTCCCCCCTGCTCTGGGCCTGGCTGCAGTTTCCAGGAGGGGCTCCTTCTCTCCGGTATCCCCTGGCTGCCGGCCACGCCTGGGGAGGGCCGTGCCCAAGCCCCTAGGGCGTCCCACCTGGGCTGCCCTAGAGGAAGCCACACGGGGGCCTGGCACCTGCGAGCCACCTGCTGAGCCCTCTGCCCACTGAGCGGCTCTGGGAGGGGCTCGGGCGCAAAGTCAGAGACGGGGAACGGAGGCCGGGAAAGAGGAAGAGAGAATTCCAGGCAACAGGAACCCTGATCTTTGTGGAACGTGTGTGCGCGTGCATGTATGTACATATGCGTATGCATGCGTGTTGCATGTGCATGTGTAGGGGGACCACACTAACCACCAGCCTCCACCACTATCCTTTAGTGTCCCTAATTTACACCAGATACAAATTAATACACTCATCCTAATTACTGCTATTGTTTCTCTTGCTAACTACAGCACCCAAATGCTAATGTTCCAGTGGTTTGCAACGGATGGGTGTGGTTTCTCAGTCTTTGAGAATGACCTGTACAGCTCCCCAAGTAGATAGCTACAGGACAAATCCTGCTCCCCTCCTGCTTTCTGGAACCTTCCAGACCTAGTCTCAGCTCTGGCCCTCAGCCTGCGTGGGCCTCCGTTTCCCACCCGTGGAAGGCAGGGGTGGGATCATTTCCGGGGAGCACCCACAGTCTCTCCGCCAACACTGCCGCCCCAGCAGGCGCAGGCAGCCCCGACGAGGAAGATATTGGGGGAAGGATCTGGAAGAGGCATCAGATAGGGCCAAGGCGTCAGGGAGACCTCAGGCCCAAGCCCTTGGAGTCCCAGGTTGCCTTCTCTGGGGACCGCAACTCAGGAGGGTCCCCCGAAGTCCTACCCCAGGCCTGCGGGTGGCCACGAGGCAGACCCTGGTCCCTGGGACCCCCAGCCACCCCCGGAGGGTAGGCGAGCAAGTACTTACCGCGCTCAGCAGAGCATGGGACAGCCGCCCGCGGGCCCGAAAGTGGCTTCTCTGTGTTGACAACAAGGCCCCGGCCCGGACTGCTGCGGTCCCCACCCCGCCAACCCCCAACGGCTCTGTGTAGAAGAAGGAAGCGAGAATGTGATTACTCAAGTGGGGCCACACCCTCCTGCAAGTGACAGCTTCGGTGACAACAGGGACAACCCTGGGTGGGGGAGTGACCTGGGGCCCTGCTGGGCCTGATTTCGTCCTGGACCCCCTTGCAATTCTGGAAACCATCCACGGAGAGGGGACTTTAGGTGAATAGGGGGTGCCCAGCCCCAAGACGAGGAGCAGGGAATAAAAACCACAGTCCACAGACCCGCGTGGAGCCTGCAAGGGGGCCGTATTTCTGCTTTCAAGATGCGGCGCACTCTGCAGGTGCACAGCTGGTCCTTGGAGCTGCGGCCTGCCTGGGGCGGCACGAGGCTCCATCCACGGGGCAAGGCCGGCTCGTCCGACCTCTCCTTCCTAACTTGCTTGTTTCCCCAGCTCTGATGGCCCAGGCTGGAGGCTCTGGGCTCCTGCCCCCCGCCCCCCACCCCCCATCTGCGAGGCTGGCCAGCAGGCAGGCCCTTGAGACACATAGCACCATGAGTGACACGCAGAGGTAGACGAGGGTGGGCCATCTTCCAAGGAAAAGCGATACTTGTGATGCACAAGGTTTTTTTTTTTTTTTAATTTTTATTATTTACTTATTTATTTGAAGTCAGAGTTACACAGAAAGAAGAGAGGCAGAGAGAGAGACAGAGGTCTTCCACCCGATGGTTCACTCCCCAAATGGCCACAAAGGCCAGAGCTGTGCTGATCCAAAGCCAGGAGCTTTTTCTGGGTCTCCCACATGGGTACAGGGGCCCAAGGACTTGGACCATCTTCTACTGCTTTCCCAGGCCATAGCAGAGAGATGGATCAGAAGTGGAGCAGCTGGAACTAGAACCAGCGCCCATATGGGATGCTGGCACTGTAGGCCAGGACATTAATCTGCTGCACCACAGCGCTGGCCCCACAAGGATTTTGAGAACCAGATGGACAGACAGAGGGAGCTCATTCCCCAAATGCAGGTTAAACACCTGCATTGCACATCAGAGCACTGGTTCCAGTCCTGGCCACTCTGCCTCCCACCCACCCATCCATCCACAGGGTGCCTCCATGCACTGATTCACTCCCCAAACGGCCACAATGACCAGGCTGAAGCTGGAGGCCAGGAACACAACCCAAGTCTCCCACGTGGGCAGCAGGAATGCAGGTACTAGAGCTGTCACTGCTGCCTCCCAGGGGTCAGGCGCTAAGAGCAGGAGTCCAACTCGGGCTCTCTGATGCGGGACTCAGGTGTCTTAACCGCTCAGTCCAAACCTGCTCCCACTTTCAAATGAACACCAGAGATGCGGCAGGTGTGGAACGGGCCAGCCCTTGGGGGCCGGCCCTGAGTCCAGGCTGGAGGTCCCTCTGAGATGGCTGGAGGGGAGGAGTCACAAAACTGGCGGCCAAGCCCGGCCTCCCAGCCGTGTCTGTGCAGCTTGGGTGCTAGGAATGCTTTTCACAGTTTCTAAAATGAAGAAAGATTTAGCCTAGTGCCACAGATACCGGCTAAGACGCCTGCACCCTCTAGCGGAGCGCCCAGCTCCTGGCCCTCACCCCGGCTTCCTGCTGTGCACACCCTAGGGGGCAGTGGTGACGGCTCCGGTGCCTGGGTCCCTGACACCCACCCGGGGGTCCTGGACTGTTTCCAGCTCCTGGTCTCAGTCCCCGCCAGCTGCTGCAGATATCTGGGGAGTGAAGTAGCAAATGAGATCTCTCTCTCTGCCCAGCCCCCTACCTGCCACTTTCTAATACATAAATTTAAAAATGCTTTCATTTAAAAAAAAATAGTTGAAAAATGCTCATGACCCAGTGAGGGCTCAGGTGGCACGGGTGCAGTGTGACCGCACGCAGCCCCACGCGCCGCTGTGGGTGGACTGGGCGTGGCGGCTCTCCCGTCGCAAGGGCAGCGGGCAACCTTGTGATGAAGACGCCTACCGCTTCCTGAGCCGCCGGTCTCCGGCAGCCCCGGAGCTGAGGGCTTGGTGTTTATCAGCTCGTGAAACCCGCACAGCGGTCTCTGCAAAGGAAGAAGCTGAGACTCACAGCGAGCACAGCCAACGGGGCGGAGCCCGGGGCTCCCGGCCAGACCAGGAGCAAGGTTCTGGAATCTTCCGTGGCATCCTGGGTCGGACATGCCAGCGACTCTCCCACACGCGAGCGGCAGGTGAGCTGTTTCCAGGCAAGACTTGAGAGGGGCTGGGTTTGCTCACTAGAGCAGCAACTACTGCTGAATGGATGGCGGTTTGTGCCGTCTGTGTGGGTGACCGTGAAACCGCAACTCGCTGCACCTGACACCTGCGAGAGGCAAGCGTGCGAAGTGTGCAGGTGCCTGATTCTAGGAATCCTGCTGGGGAAGCGCGAGGGCTCTGCCCAAGGTCGCAGAACAGGCCCGGCATGAGGGACGGATGCATGGCTGTCAGGATGGCGACAGCGCGTGGGCCTCGTGGCGCAGCAGGTTCGGCTGCCCCTCGGGGTGCCCACGGCCTGTGGCGCAGTGCCCTTGAGTGCCAGCTCCTCCGCTTCCCACCCAGCTCCCTGCGAAGGCGGCAAAACCGTGGCTCAAGCCCCTGAGCCCCTGCCAGCCGCGTGGGAGACCAGATGGCGTTCCAGGCTCTGGGCTTTGGCCCTGGCTGCTGTGGGCATCTGGGGAGTGAATCATCAGGTGGAGGGCCTCTCTCCCTCTCCCTGTCTCTCTGCTTTCCAAATACATAAAATAACTCTACAAAGAGAAAGAAGCCATGGCTCCAGCACCTGCCTGGGCGGTGGCTTAGTATCTGTTCTCCATGCAGGCCTGTCGCAGTGGCGTGAATGCAGCCAGAGTCCAGGCGTTCATGAATGGGTGTGCCTGGGTACCAGTTAGACTTTATTTACAGAACAAGTGGAGGGCCACGTTTGGCTCTTGGGCTACAGCTGGCTGATTAAAAAAAAAAAAAAAAAAAAGCAATGATGGATGCCACTGACGGGCAGGAGATCCAGGGCAGCTCGAGGCTGGCCCTGGGGCCGTGGGGTCAGCCACAGCCTGCAATGCCCACGTTCCATGTCACAGGGCCAGCTTAAGCCCCAGCTGCTCTGCTTCCAATCCAGCTCCCTGCTAACGCGCCTGGGAGACCTGGATGGAGCTCCAGGCTCCTGGCTTCGGCTTGGCCCAGCCCCGGCTGTTGTGGCCATTTGAGGAGTGAACTGGTGGATGGATGCTCTCTCTCTCTCTCTCTGTTACCATGTCTTTCAAATAAAATAAATCTTAGGCAAACAAGACAGTGACACAAGCTTTCTCAGCACAGCATGGTTGCTGAGCCCGGACAAGGGGGGCCAGGTGCCAGGTGAAGCCTGGTGGTTCAGCCTCCATGGCTCAGTGGCCAGGTCTAAAGCCGCCAGCCGGGGCTCCTGAGTGGAAAATACAAGCTTGAGAATCAGAATTCACTTCTAGCTTCGAGTGTGCTGTGTGGCTCTGGGGTACCCACAGGGGTTCTCCGAGCTTGTATCGTATGGAAAATGAAGCTTTGACTATTCGCCAAATAACACAGCACCTGATGAAGGTGTGAGTGCAGGCTGGGATGCGGACGTGGCCGCTGGCCCATGGCTGCACTTCTGACTCCCTGGGGCAATCCCCCCGCCCCCGTGATGATGCAGAGACACTCATTTCTTTCTGTCTTTGAAAGTCAGAGTTACGGAGAGGGAGGGAGGAAGGGAGAGACAGAGAGATCTTCCACCTGCTGGTTCACTCTGCCAGTGGCCAGAATGGCCAGGCGCCAGTTAGAGCTCCTTCCTGGTCTCCCAGGTGGGTGCAGGGGCCCAAGCACTTGGTCCCTCTGGCTGCACTTTGTTCTTTACTGCTTCTGAGTGGGGAGTGGGGTGGGACAAGCGCGGCTCTGATAAAACACCAGTGGGGCCGCAACCCGGTATCACTGGACTTGGGCGGGTCGGCTGCCTCCTCCATTACTGAGAAAACACGGGTGGTGGTGGCGGGGGACACAAATTGAACCCTTGTGGAATCCTGGAGATAAAATGTGTATTTGACAGGCCGGGCTCAGCCTGACAGCTTCGAATCTATTAGCAGGTTCCCAGAATTACCTGCTGCCCCTCCCCCACAAGACATGAACAGGATCCCACACCCACTTCCCTTACAGGATCCCACCTGCCTCCGCAAGTGGTCACGACAGCTCTGAGGAAGCTGCACTCGAGAAGGGGCTGTGGATTCCTGCCTCTTCTGTCACTGGGCCCATCGGTCAGCTGAGCAGACCTGGAAGGGAGCAGGGGCGGCACACCCAACTGCCTGGCCTTGCTGGCTCCCTTCGAGGCTAGGGGTTTGCCCACGGGATCGTCTAAAAGGGAAATGGATGCTTTGGGCCCGTTGCAGCCAGGATTCAATTCCCCTTCTTCTATGAGGATGGAGTTACGGGGCGGGGGGTGGGGTGGGGTGGGGTTCTGGGCTGGAGATGGCAGCAGGAAGCTGCTTCCGTGGGGTAGGGGGGAGAGAGCAGGGTGCCTGCAGCTCACCTGGCCAGACAGGGTGCAGGAGGGTGACCCCAGACCTGGAGGACCAGAGGGCACACGAGGGGCAGCACACTCCTGACCAGTGGTTTTCCATGGAGGGCTCACTGCCCCAGTGGCCACCCTCAAGCACCTGGCCCAGGCCCAGGCCTGGCCATCCAGACCCGAACTCTGGACCTTGGATCTCAAGGGCTCCCAGGTCTGCTGAAGGAGCCAGCCCCTGGGCCCAGGACACACAGGGCGTCTTGGTTGCAGACGGCTCCAGCATGGAGTTCAAGGTCAGAGATGCGCTGAACCTTGGGCGTGAACTCAACAAATAGTCAAGACAGTGCCAGATCCGGAAATCTGCAGAGGGGAGTGAACTGGTGTCCCCGTGGAGTCGCCAGTCGATCTGGGGGGACAGACCAGGCTCAGGGAGCGGTTAGGTCAGGGGTAGCGTGTCATGGGGGAAAGACCACAGGGTCAGGATGCAGGATGGAGGGTTGGGGGGAGAACGGCCCAGAGAGAGCAGCAATTGCAGAAGTGGGAGGCCACCCAGGCACAGGGGT